CCTTTAAATCGAACCATGAAACCGTAACTATTTAAAAAATAACAATAACCGGTGTTTTTGTATGGTATATGACAGATTTTTGACTTTGTTAAAGTTAACATAATGACGGTACAACTCAGCGTAAGTTAATTAAATTACTCCACAATGTGGACAGACGACTTCAATAAAGGTAGCAGGAGGGCGCTGGATGCAGCAGGCCGGTACAACCGGACAATTTGGAAATCATAGGAATGAGGGGTGCCAAAACCAGAAAATTAGGAGGACCTAGAAGGGAACAAATATTTTTAATTGAAAAATAAAAAGCACAGTTTTCGTGTCCCCCCAAATTTCATTTTCTGTCACTCATAACGTTATGGTTTGGAACTCCTCACTTATTCAGCAGTAGACGTCCTTTTCTTTAAAGGGTGATGATGAAGATGATGAATCATTTGGTTATCCCCCCAGATCACAGGAGCCGGTCATGGCATGGGCCGCGAGGTGGCGCTGCGGTTCGGCCGGCTCGGCGCGACGGTGGTCTGTGTGGATGTCAACCCTGCCTCCAATGAGGAGACCGCCAAGATGATCAAGGCAGAGAAGGGGAAGGCTTTCCATTATCAGTGAGTCTTTACCACTTAGATTTTTCCTGCGTATTTATGCACTAGCTGTGCCCGCGACTTTGTACGCGTGAAAACCCGTTTTCGCAACATTTTTCATTATTGCTCTGCTCCTTTTGATCGTAGCGTGATGTTGTATAGCCTATAGCCTTCCTCGATACATGGGCTATCTAACACTGAAATTTTTTTCAAAGCGGACCAGTACTAGGGNGTCCCACGTAGTTCCGGAGATTAGCGCGTTCAAGTAAACAAACAAACAAACTCTTCATCATTATTATAGATTTGTTTTATTAGAAAGACATTTCCATACCTACTAAATGTCAAATGAAGGTCATATCTACTATGACCTTCATTTGACATTTAGTATGAACTCGGAAAGGGGTCAACACCCTTTTTCGAGCTGTCATCGCCTTTCGCGCGCTGTCATCGCATTTCGCGCGCTGTCATTCGAGAGGTGAGGCGTTTACGTTACGGTGCGGATAAAACAACAAAGAATACTGACCGCTTCGAGTTGATACGGTTGCGATCCACTTCCGGGTTGATAAATGTGCTACGGCCTTTAAAGAAGTGTTCTCAACGCCTGTTTAACTTTTTGTCATAAATCCCCCTAGTATTGTATTCACTTGACAGTCCAAGGCCTGAAAAAATCATAATGAAAACAGTTACAATTTACTACATACGAGTAAGTACCTTTAAAGAAAGAACATACCTGGGTGAATATCCCAAACANGTTTAATTATGTCTAACTTAGGTACTTTAATAGATAAATAAGTAGGTAAGTATGTAGAAAGTTATATTCTTTAAGTACATTCGTGAATTCCTCCAGCTTTTTGAAACCAATATCTTGGTGTAAAATTTTAGTTAGGTACTTAAGGAAGATTAACGACGTAGAATAGAATGAGTGGATTTTCTCACCAGCTTCTTCGAACTACTCAAGTTCATAAACAGCATAAATGTGTTTTTTTCGCAATACTTACATCTTCGTGAAGGAATTATTTAATAATTTATTTATTATAATAAACTAGTTTATAACCGCAAGGTGTGCATTATCAAGGTCACAAAATACTGATAACCTAAAAACTGATTCAATGGCACCTGAAATACACACACCTTATAGATAAACTTTAATTTCAGGGGCTACTTAATTGAATGAAGGTCAGTAACTAACTGTGAACGCGACTTCGTACGCGTGAAAATATATAGTTTGGATATTTTTTCCCATTTTTAGAACATTTTTTATTATGGATTAGTAGTAGTTTCACACGATGTTCCTTCGCACGAATGTGCGAAACGTCCCCTTTCAAAAATATTTTTTTTAGTAGGCGTTTCGCCCGGATGTACTAAAAGTATTAAAATCGCATGCGAACCGACTCTTTTTTGAACTATTAGTATGCGATTACTAGTTCTCAATACTTTTGATAAATCCGGGCGAAACGTACCTACTAAAAAAAAATTTTTTTGAAAGGGGACGTTTCGCACATTATTGCGAAGGAAAATCGTGCGAAACTACTACTAACCCTTTATTGGGTTATATCTGCTCCTATTAATCGTAGCATTCGTAGCGTGATAGCCTTAGTCTTCCTCGATAAATAGGCTATCCAACACAAATATTTTTTGAAGCGCGTTCAGACATATAAACAAACTCTTCAGTTTTACAGTGTCATTCATAACCTTCCTAAGGACGCAGTATCTAAATATATAAAAGGAGAAACTGACTGACTGACTGACAGATCAACGCACAGCCTAAACGGCTAAACGTAGGCACTTGAAATTTGGAAGGGACGTAGCTTAGGTACCGTAGAGGTGCACTAAGAAAGGAATTACCGAAATTCCCTCGGGAACGGGAATTAGCGGGAAAAACGGGATTCACGCGTACGAAGTCGCGGGCGGCCGCTAGTTATTGTATATTATTAATATCTAAATATATAAAAGGAGAAACTGACTGACTGACTGACAGATCAACGCACAGCCTAAACGGCTAAACGTAGGCACTTGAAATTTGGAAGGGACGTAGCTTAGGTACCGTAGAGGTGCACTAAGAAAGGAATTACCGAAATTCCCTCGGGAACGGGAATTAGCGGGAAAAACGGGATTCACGCGTACGAAGTCGCGGGCGGCCGCTAGTTATTGTATATTATTAATACTTACTTAGTCTGCATGAAGAAGGCAAACAATAGATTTAATTAAAGTTAGTTACTGTTTTTTTTTTATCTTTTCTGTTAGCAACTAGTACGAGTAATAAGTAATATAATCTAACACGTAACTTACGTAATAATTAATTATTTTAATTAATTATGATTAGATAAACTGGATAGGTCTATCTATTCGTGTAGTATAGTGGGGCACGTGTATGTACTTTAGTGTAGGTGACATTTATAAAGGTTGTACACTTGTGTACATAATGCTATGGGACATGTAAAAGTAGTATTTAATTAAATGTCAGCTGCCGAAAATAAGCGTTTCGTTAACTCTTATAATACGAACAGCTAGGGACTGGAATTTCACTTTTTTAACTTTCCCGAACACTATGATCTGGGCCTCTTCAAGGAGCGAGCGAATTTACTGGGCAGATAATATGTATGCCTGAATGCGGGTGGCGCAGGGTCGGTCGTTCTCGTTATGGAAATCCTTGGGGGAGGCCTTTGTCCAGCTGTGGTCATTTGGCTGAAACGAAACGGTGTACCGCCCTATACTCAACATCAGGTGTGATTGTGGTCAAACCCTGCCTTCTGCTGCTGTATAAAGACAAAAAACATTGTATGATTTTTCATGAATTTTCATAGCCTTGAAAGCCTACAGATGATTAGATGAATGAATAAGATAACATGTTTGTTCGAATTGCAAACATTGGCAGAGGGCCAGTTACAGATTTAATCATTGTGTTCATACTAGATTGCTCAGTCGCCACTGAAGTGACGGGAAGGACGCACTGTGAGTTTCAGTCGGTGATCAGTGACATAAAATGTAGGTAAATAGTTGTGAACTAGGTCAAGGTAGCAGTAGTGCTCCCAAGTACGCACTAAAAAGTTATGAAATCGAAAGATATTATTGTCAATGTAACACCGCAATTACCTTATAATCACGCTGTAGTTATTTTTGCTGATTTTATGAGGCACTAACTAACGTAAATATTCATAAAAAGTAGCCGCCCGTACTAATGATGGTTTATATTATATTCTATGTATAAACTCTAGCATTGTTAAGTTTCATCAAAATCCATTCAGTAGTTATTGCTTATAAGAGCTATAAATCATTAAATCGCAGATGCAAAGACAGCATTTTTGAAATCATTTACCCTTAAGTATTCAAAATTATTGCATTAAGTTGTAGATAATTATATCAACCAAAGTTTAGTATAATATCTTGAAGAACTAATATTCATATTTAACTAAACAAAAACATGACAACTAATTAGTGATTCTAGGAAATGAATACAATACATTCAATAAATGTCTAAACTAAGCAAAATATTCCATTAGTTAAATACTTCAATAAGTTGTAAAGATTATGACATAAGAATAATAATTAATTCGTATTTTTTACAACGGCTGCAAGGATTAAGTTACCTTAAATATTTATTTCCAGAGGCAAAAACTTGTTTTTATAACCTTACATGATATTGTGCGTTTCAATCAACATTTCATGGCTCGCTTCTTCGCTATTTTACCCTATTTTTGAGATAAAAGATAAGTTAGTCTACGACCACACAGAAAAAAATATTTCTATAATCCACGAAAACCATCGCCTCCCTAGATGTTAGATTTTATTTTGTTAATTGAAAAATATCTTCATAATAAATTATTTCAAACCTGATAGATACACCTGATATCTGACAGGATATTTTTTTTGTTACTATAGTTATAGAAATAATATAATTAAGTATCTACTTAATAATATTTTAAACTAAGTACCTATCTACTTGTTTAGCTCAAATCTTGTATAAAAAAGTATACAAAGATGTTGAATAAGTAAATTATGTTTGCACCTAGCCTTCAGTCTAAACTTTAACCCTAGAATTAGGCACTATTGTATGCCTTCAAGGCGAAACGCAGCCGATCTACACCCATTAAAATTTGACAACCTATATAGGTTTATCTGTTTACATTTAACCTGTGGATGACAATAAACGTATTTTGAATTTGATTTTTTTTTACCATCATAATGTTAATGAGTCGTCATCTCAGATAGAATGTCCACTGCTGAAGTGCTGAACATAGGCCTCCCCCAATGCTTTCCATGTTGCCCGGTTGGTAGCGGCCTGCGTCCAGCGCTTTCCTGCTACATTTATGATGTCGTCGGTCCACCCTGTGAGTGGAATTCCCACGCTGCGTTTTCCGGGACGCTTCCTCCACTCCAGAACCTTGATGTGAATGAGTATTTTAATGAAAATATTGCATTCTTCCCCAGGGCAGAGGAGCCGTTGGTGATCGTAGCCGTGAGGCTGGTGCTGGAGTTCGTCTGGACTCTCATTGTGATGAACTATGAGACATTGAAGGCCATCTACCTGTTCTTCATCCCGCCAGAGCCTAAAGATGTCACCGAGGACATTATATTCGTAAGTTTTCTTTCATAAATTGGGTGCGACCGGAGTGGATAATGTACAGTAATAATATTAGACTCGTATTTTTTATTTTCTTTTATGAAAAATAACAGTGCTACATCGAGTTGAAATGGCGCGTAACGTCACGCCTATGTAGATTTTTACTTAGAAGTGACGTCACGCGACATTTCAATTCAATTTAAACGTAATTATTATAGAAAAAAATACGTATCCAATATTTTTTATTATCTATCTGACGGACTAAATAGAATTTCGATATCATTACCCAGTCAAAAATCAAAACGACTGTAAATGTACCTACCTAAGTACAGACGAGTTGAGAACCTCCTCCTTTTTAAAGTTGGTTAAAAACAAAGTTTTTAAACTCATGACAACAACTCATCTTCTTGGTACAAATCTTGAGTTTACTTTAAAATAATTTATTTTATACTTATCGAAAATTTAATTTATTTTAATTAAATTTTATTAATTAGGCATGTCAAAATAAGTACAGTCACGTGCAAATTTTTAATTTAATTGTTAAAACCTTATTAAGTTAAATGAATTAGTAGAACTCCTATACACGTGTTTATTTACGTACAGTTTTACATGAACTTACAAACATGTCTGGCTTATGACAGCAGAAAACCTTAATTTGCATGTGTAGACATACAAGCAAATTAACTTACCTACTAGTTTTCATTAAATTTTATTACTAAGTATCGTACCTATGTAGGCATGGGAGGAACTAATTAACTAACTGACGTAAAAAGTGTTTACTGAAATGTTTGGGCGGTAAGCTATTCTTTACACCCCTTATTTATTATAATACCTATGAAATTAAATCAGTAAATAGAATACCTACTTTTTTTAATTTATTTTTTATGCATAACAAGGCAGGTATTTGACCACAATCGCACCTGATGTTAAGTGGGATGCAGTCTAGGATGGTACATATCTGCCCTGTAAGTGCTTATTCACTCTCGCCTTGAAGAGGCCCGGATTAAAGTTTTCGGGAACTTAGTTACTTGCCTATTAATATCACCTAAACATAGGCCACCTTCGGCCAAGAAGTTATCATATAGTACAGGGTTTCCCAAAATGGGGTACGCGAACCCCTAGGGGTTCACCATTCGACAGCAGGGGATTCACGACAAGATTTACGTAATGGTGGCAGCTTAGAAATTACGGATAAAATTGTCCAAAATTTACCCCATTTGCGAAACGAAACAAACACACCTTTCTTTGGCACTTTAAATGGTACTTTTTATTGAAATTAAAACATTATTTTCTTCAATAGTCAATTTTATTATTTTATTTGAAGGTGCTAGTTAGCTAGTTATGGGGTTCGTTGTCACCTGACAACTAACAGGGGTTCGTGGAGCCGTAAGTTTGAGAAACCCTGATCTAGTAGCAGAGCAAACGCCAATAGGATAGTTAGGTTACAAAGATAAACAGTAACTAAGGCAGTGCAGTCAGTGGTTAAAGTCCACGACCTTTGCTCATTAAAGATAATTAGAATTCATTATCTCAGGTAATAAGCACATACCACCGATTACATGAAAACGCAAGTTTTCACAGTAATCTAGCTAGTGAAATTGCTATCTAATCACATGCGTAATGAAACGTAGATTTTATGGTATTTGATTTGATTTGACGCTTATGCCTGGACTGGAAGGCGTTTATAAAGTCAGATACTTACATAGATCTATTCCTCTTTTTTAATTGAGAGAAGTCAGTTCCTCAGTTATTCCTCCCTTCTTTCATTGGATGTGTATTGAAATCTAATACTGCTCTATACCTTTCTTGATGACAAAAACATATTATCCCAACTAATATTATAAATGCGAAAGTAACTCTGTCTGTCTGTCTGTCTGTCTGTCTGTCTGTTACGCTTTCCCGCTTAAACCTCGCAACCGATTTTGATGAAATTTGGCATAGAGATAGTTTGAGTCCCGGGAAAGAACATAGGATAGTTTTTATCCCGGTTTTTGAAACAGGGACGCGCGCGATAAAGTTTTTCTGTGACAGACAAAATTCCACGCGGGCGAAGCCGCGGGCGGAAAGCTAGTAAATAATAATTACAAATATTTTCGTTCATTATAATGACCAGCAGTCCGTAAATTTTAATGAATATTTTATCTCCTTTAAATCGAACCATGAAACCGTAACTATTTAAAAAATAACAATAACCGGTGTTTTTGTATGGTATATGACAGATTTTTGACTTTGTTAAAGTTAACATAATGACGGTACAACTCAGCGTAAGTTAATTAAAATAGTTACTCCACAATGTGGACAGACGACTTCAATAAAGGTAGCAGGAGGGCGCTGGATGCAGCAGGCCGGTACAACCGGACAATTTGGAAATCATAGGAATGAGGGGTGCCAAAACCAGAAAATTAGGAGGACCTAGAAGGGAACAAATATTTTTTAATTGAAAAATAAAAAGCACAGTTTTCGTGTCCCCTCAAATTTCATTTTCTGTCACTCATAACGTTATGGTTTGGAACTCCTCACTTATTCAGCAGTAGACGTCCTTTTCCTTAAAGGGTGGTGATGATGATGATGAATCATTTGGTTATCATTCCCCCAGATCACCGGAGCCGGTCATGGCATGGGCCGCGAGGTGGCGCTGCGGTTCGGCCGGCTCGGCGCGACGGTGGTCTGTGTGGATGTCAACCCTGCCTCCAATGAGGAGACCGCCAAGATGATCAAGGCAGAGAAGGGGAAGGCTTTCCATTATCAGTGAGTCTTTACAACTTAGATTTTTCCTGCGTATTTATGCACTAGCTGTGCCCGCGACTTTGTACGCGTGAAAACCCGTTTTCGCAACATTTTTCATTATTGCTCTGCTCCTTTTGATCGTAGCGTGATGTTGTATAGCCTTCCTCGATAAATGGGATATCTAACACTGAAAGAATTTTTCAAATCGGACCAGTAGTTCCGGAGATTAGCGCGTTCAAGTAAACAAACAAACTCTTCAGCATTAGTATAGATTTGTGTTATTAGAAAGACATTTCCATACCTACTAAATGTCAAATAAAGGTCATAATAGAAGAATAATGAACTCTGAAAGGGATCAACACCCTTTTGCGAGCTGTCATCACCTTTCGCGCGCTGTCAATCGAGAGGTGAGGCGTTTTCGTTACGGTGCGGATAAAACAACAAATCTACTGACCGCCTCGAGTTGATACGGTTACGACCCTTTTCGGCTTGATAAATGTGCTACGGCCTTTAAAGAAGTGTTCAACGCCTGTTTAACTTTTTGTCATAAAGCCCCCTAGTATTGTATTCACTTGACAGTCCAAGGAATGAAAAAATCATAATGAAGACAGTTAAAAACTATTATGCCTAGAAACAACATAGGTACTCATTTCTGAATATGCAATTCATGTACCTATACACAGTAACGTTGTGTTTTTAAATAAATTTGCTATAACTTAATACTAAACGATTGATTACAGATGCGACATCACGAACCGTGACGCTGTCTTCAAACTGGCAGAGAAGGTCCAGAAAGAGGTCGGGGATGTGACCATCCTCCTCAACAACGCCGGTATCATGCCCTGCAAGCCTCTTCTCAGGCACTCCGAGAAAGAAATCCGGTCGATGTATGACGTTAACGTCCATGGAGTTCTATGGGTGAGACTCAGTTTATCAGCGCAAATATCTTGACCATTATAAGGGAAGGTTGCACCACCTAATTTTGACGGTAACTATGACGATAACCGGTGATTTTTGTATGGAGTTTGACAGATTTTTGACGTTTGTCACAGTTAAAGTAAGATGGTGCAACCCAGCCTAAGTATGTTGTTATACATTGTGAAATCTTTTCCCAAACTTGATAGTTGGTACTTCCACACACAGTACCACAGAGCAAGGAATCGCCGCTAACGGGCAGCGCGGAGATGCCATGCTCTGTGGTACTTCCACTTTCCTGTAGAAGTATAAACTGCAGTATTACCAATGGTACATCTTTGTTAGTCATCATCATCATCATCATCATCATCATCATCATCATCATCATCATCATCATCATCATCATCATCATCATCATCATCATCATCATCACGAAGTTGTTTAGTCTCCATGCACTGCAGGAACATGACTGTTTAAACCAGAGACAAATAGAGTTTGGTCACACTCTTCACACTAGTCAACTGGTGGGGTGGGGCACAATGTCAAATACCTACAATGAACTGTAGTTGATTAGGTTGTTGATTCAATCGCCTTTTAAATGACACACTAAATGAACTAGCTAATACATTACTGATATTCTTCAAACCTTTCAGACCATACAAGCCTTCCTTCCCACTATGTTGGAGAACAACAAAGGCCATCTCGTGGTCATGTCGTCCATGGCTGGGCTGATGGGCCTCCGTAACATCGTGCCTTACTGCGGCACCAAGTTTGCCGTCCGGGGTATCATGGAGGCACTGGCTATGGAGCTCCATGAGGACAAGACTAGGGCTTCGGATGGGGTAAGTTTCAACTGCTGGTCGTTCCTATCATAGCGGCCTGATAGGTCTCCATTCGATATTAGCATCCAGCTTTTGCTAGAGAGGTTTACTTAACTTACTACTAAGTAACTACTTGGAGGTTTTTTATGTAACTATGAATATGAGTAAGACGAATAAGAGAAGTTACTTGATCCGGATGCTGGACGTAACCCTCCATCAAATTTTCTTCTCGTAGATACAACCGATTAAAATAATGGTCATAGATCAACAATAAGGTTTCTATGATAATATGGCGTTAAAGATCTTTGTTATTCCAGGTATGATGAGCAAATTGTTTCGTAACTTGCACTATCCTTAGGTTCGAATATACCTGACAGGGCTCATATTTGTCTAATCTGTTGATTGCAAACTATTTGCACTTACCATTTCTTCATCATCGTATCCTAACAAATCTTGTCTATTCCCCAGATCAAGTTCACCACAATCTACCCTACCATGGTGAACACGGGTCTGTGCCACAACCCCCGAGCTCGCTTCGCCAAGCTCAATATGGTGGAGAAGGAATTCGCTGCCGATCTGATTGTGGACGCCATCAGGCGGGAACTGACAGAGATCTCCGTTCCTACTGATCTCTATTACGCTAATAGGGTGAGTGTGAAAGTTATCATATTTTATAGGTTGGTCTTGGAATAAAGCTAAGTAATATTAGCGAGTTGCATGTTAAGCCTAGGCGCAGACCATCGATTTTTCGTCGGCCGATAGTTTAGTCGGGCAGTTGATCAGTATGGGCATGTATGGAAGTGCGCACATTATACCGATTCGATTTGGCCGATTCTTCATACAATTTAAAATCGGGCACAACTATCGGCCAACTAAAAATCGGTGGTCTGCGCCTAGCTAAGTGTGATGGAAAGTGTACCTAGTTGTAAATTTCTTTCAAAATATTGTTTTTTTTTTTCAGTTCATCTTCCGTTTGCTGCCCTACAAGGCTGGTCTGGCCATGAATGACTTCGTCGCCACTGGCCTGGATCCTCACGACTAGATCCTGAAGGTAGTTTAGATATAAATAAAAATGACAAACTGACAACCTATTATTAATCTAGATTAAATACCTAGTTGTCCGGCTGGTATCACTGTAGAAACTAGGGTATTTTGTACTGAGTATATCGTCACCGTCGTGGCAGAATTAAATAACTGACACTTTTGGCAAANTATGTTGGAGAACAACAAAGGCCATCTCGTGGTCATGTCGTCCATGGCTGGGCTGATGGGCCTCCGCAACATCGTGCCTTACTGCGGTACCAAGTTCGCCGTCCGGGGCATCATGGAGGCACTGGCTATGGAGCTGCACGAGGATAAGACTAGGGCTTCGGACGGGGTAAGTTTCAACTGCTGGCAGTTCCTATCCTCAGTCTCTTGCCGGCCATAGGCCTCCATTCGATATTAGCCTCCAGCTTCGCAAGTCATAAAGTCTTGCGTCTCTAAACTACTTGTAGTTTTTTTATATAGCTATGAGTAATGAATATGAGTGAGACGAAGAGAAGTTACTTAGTTTGCATGCTCTACATAAGCCTCCATCATTGTCCGGCCGTTTGGTGTAGTGGTTTGAAACGGACTACTATTCCGGAGGTAGCGGGTTCGATTCCCGCACAGTACAAACATTTGTCGAAGGATATTTATTTATTATTATTATAGAACCGATTAAAATCATGGTCACCTAGATCAATAGCTTTAAAGATCTTTGCTATTCCGAGTATGATTTGCAAAGTATTTAGTAACTACTTACCTAGACAATAATTTGTCCTCGAGTTCGAAAAGTGTTCGAGTGTCACAGAGCTCATATTTTGTCTAATCTGTGACCTGCAAACTATTTTCCTTGTTACTTCGCCATAATGTCTCAACAAATCTTTTCTATTCCCCAGATCAAGTTCACCACAATCTACCCTACCATGGTGAACACGGGTCTGTGCCACAACCCCCGAGCTCGTTTCGCCAAGCTCAATATGGTGGAGAAGGAATTCGCTGCCGATCTGATTGTGGACGCCATCAGGAGGGAACTGACAGAGATCTCCGTTCCTACTGATCTCTATTACGCTAATAGGGTGAGTGTGAAAGTTATAGGTTGGTCTTGGAATAACAATAAGTTTGGCGATTTGCATGTTAAGTGTGATAGAAAGTGTAGTTGTAAATTTCTTAAAAAAATGTTTTTTTTTTCAGTTCATCTTCCGTTTGCTGCCCTACAAGGCTGGTCTGGCCATGAATGACTTCGTCGCCACTGGCCTGGATCCTCACGACTAGATCCTGAAGCTAGTTTAGATATAAATAAAATGACAAACTGACAGTTACCTATTATTAATCTAGATTAAATACCTAGTTGTCCGGCTGGTATCACTGTAGAAACTAGGGTATTTTGTACTGAGTATATGTGTGTGTATTTGTGTTTTTTAGGTCGTGAAATAACCTAAACTCTTATAAAACAGTAGAGCACTTAAACAATAAAAAACAGATAACTAATTACTAGCTTGTAAAAATATTACAAATCTGGTTACCATCTAATCAAATCATATGTAATAATAATATCTACTGCCAAAGATCGTAAGTTACTCCTGTGATAGAAATGTAAGTAATCCTACTACCTACCTATAAAATAGGGTGTTATCATGGATGCATTTTAATTTTGTATCTTGTTTTTGATATAAAATATTTAGTACGACTATGTTTATGTAGGTGATAATACTTTTTCAACATTGAAACAGTTTATTCAAGTTTTTATAAGTTATAAAATAAATTATATTGTAAAAAGGCGTAGTTTTATTAACCTTCACTTTATCCGCTACAGTTTCATACTTACATAATATTATTTTACAATTAATTACTATTATCGTAAGTTGGTAAACTAATTAACGCTTATCTCTAAATTCAAGGCTAATCCGACAACATAAGAATGCTAGATGCATGTTATCCACATAATTATTTACATGTTTGATATCACTTATTTAATAAATAGGTGGATAGTTAAAGTTAAAATAAATAAATAGGTGGACGCGAACACGCGATATGACCCTATTTAAATTTCATTAGCGATGGATTATGAAATGAAAATGACGTTTCACCGACTTCAATTAAAACTTTAGATTATCTTATTCAGGACCGTAAGTCCTTGGGCTTAGGATTCAAAGTTTTCAGGAAAGCAAGGGCGTGACGCCTGGATGGAAGACACTGGCCGAATGCTTCTAACAACAATGGTTCTTGTTCTACAGCATCTCTGAAATAAAACAATACAATATACAAAAGTAACGAAAAATCTTCATCTTCCTTCAGTCAGTTTAATCGACAATAGCCGAAGGATGATGTGTCGGACTGGCTGACACGAGATCCAAGGAACATGGGTTCGAAGCCCCCGCCGCTCGGTTCTCCTGGTGAACCCACTGGCCACCCAAGAATAATTAGCTTACCACGAGGGGTTAATGGGACTATTAGTAATTTTTGCAATACAAATAATAATCCATCATATCCTGGCTGGTAAGTAACTGGTTAAATTACAAACCCAATAATAAAGAACGAATGTAATTGTACCCACTTGTAGTCTTCAGGAGATACTCGTCCGTCCTTGTCGACGTCCATCTTCCTGAGGACCAGCTCAACCAGATCCCGTACACCTTCGTCGGGATCTTCGTCTCCTGGCTGTTTGAGGAGGGAGTTCCTGAAAAAAACCACAGTGGATTTGGTAACGGCAAAAGTTACCAGGGTTTTTGATATTCTCACTCAAGGAGTGTCAACGTGACTCCATTAATTGCTAGATGTTCTCCATCTACCGGTCAGCGATTTGTACCTTAAGAATCTTAATAGGCAGATGGATCACCTGATGGTAAGTAATTACCGTCGCCCAATAGTATAGGGCTAGTAATCAGATAAAATTTGTTGTACATGGCGTTCAAATTCCTATCTTTCCTGTTGCAAAGAAACCTAGCTTCCACAGGCTAGGAATCTGCGATACTCACTTCAGCAGCACGAACATCTCATCCCTGGTAATATATCCATCAGCATTCAGGTCGTACACAGCGAAGCAGTGGTTCCTCCGCTCCTCCTCAGTCCCTCTTAGTAGTACGCTCAGCCCGCGCACCCACGCTTCAAACTTCAGGGCGCCCTCCCCACCACTCGCCCCGCGGTCCCATGTGATCCATATTCTTTCCAAGATGGCCTCCTCCGTGATCATGTCGAAGGTGTTGTGCATCACATCGCGGAAAGTGCCTTGGTCTATACCCTGAAACAAAAACAGACTCAAAATAGGTCACAGAAAGTCTATAATATAAAAATGAATCGCAAAATGTGTTGGTAGGCGTATAACTTGTTGAAGTCCAAGGATGGTTTTTACGGCGAGAAAAATTGGAATAGTTTCCGGGAAAACCCTAAAAACAGCCCTTTTTCACGCGGGCAAAGCCGCGGGCGGAAAGCTAGTTCTAATAAAAATTGTGTCACAGGCTTACAGCTTGCCCCAGTTTAGTAGCACCTAAGTAAAACTAATTTGGCAAAAATAGAAAACTTTGACGATAGCATTGAAGAGTTCCACCTGACTAGGGTGGCGTATCCATTTTCTTTCAGATACTACAGAAAAAGCGGGAAGAGCCTGGATGCACGCAGCGCAGGACAGGTCGTTATGGAAATTCTTGCGGGAGGCCTTGTGCCTTATTGTCTAGCGTGGACGTCAATTGGCTGCAACGAAACGAACGAACCTTCAGTTTATTACTAGTTCCTATTACCTATTTCCCATAGTATCCCGAAGACAAATAGATCGAAACTTTCTGACACGAGCAGTGTCATACTGTCATGAACAAAACCTATTAGCATCATTGCCCAAAATAATTACGTATCAGTGCCCTAATACGAGTGTGCCGTGTCGTGATGCGGTGTTTCAAATTCCCCATTTCAAGTTTTATCAGCGATTATTCCCTTCATTTTGTTTATGCGCTTTGGAAATATCGTACTGGGTCAGTTAGAGCTGTTCCCTGTGTCATTTAGTAGGGACGTCCCGATGTTGTCCCATAAAGAAAAGTAGTGTAAATTTTTATGGAATTGTCCCAATTTCATATTTATGATACGATTTGATTAAATTATTTATTTCAGATCTAATTTGTTTATTAGGTAGGTATAGTCATGATTGATAAACCGAACTAGTGAACTCTCGGCATCGCATCAAATCTCAGAAATGATTATTGTTTGTCACCACTGAACGTTCTGAACGAGTTTTTGTCTTCATAGCTGCAATGTCCCAATTTGTAGTATGTACCTACCGTCCCATTAACATTTCCGTCCCACCTGTCCGTTACGTAACCGCACTAGCAACGCAATATATCACCAGCCAACTCATATCTTCGCTCGCGTGCGTTCGCATCATGTTGGGAACATATTTGAAGGCATCCATTCTAATCTTTCCAGGGACAATCAATATAAATACGTATACATAATACTTTCTTTGGATCGCTGCGGAGCGATGCGAATGTAGCGAACGCTTGATTTATTGTCGTTTTTCCACGTTTCTTTTCCGTGACATGTTCGCGTAGCTTCCACAAATTCATACGAAAGAAATGTATAACACTGGTCAACACATGTTTTTTTTCCTTTAATTTTTTTTCTGTTACTGGGTATTTCTATGGCCCTGATTATGAAAAAAATATTGGGAGATCGCCAACAGCTTTACTTTTTAAAATATAGAGCTTTATTATTTTGACAAATAATACGAAAAATTATACATTGTGCTAATAAAATTTCAATTGAACACTAGCAAATGATATTTTATATAATTTCCTTGAATAGGCAAGTTTGAGTAGATCTCGTTGCAAACTGCAGCAATGGTCTGCCATTCATATATGAGCACCACGCCCCTGATAACCTTCTTCCATTGTCAGAAAATTCCAATGAAAACTTTTATCCTGCTCCTCACTAAAATCACCCACATTTTGTGGAAATCGATGTTAATGCGAGTACATGAAGTGTATTTTTATGCCCATGTTGCACCCTAGCTCTTGCAAGTTGGATAGCATGCTCTCAACAATCTCTTTTTGCTTAGGAAATTACTTATAACCAAAAAAAATCATTTTAAGCTTAGGACTGGACTTCACTCATTGATTTCTTAAAATTACGATCATTCACCAGTTGCCTAATGTGAGTCCCATCAAAAATCACCAGCTTTTAAGTTTTCTGTGCTTAATCCTGAAAAATTGCGTGAAAGAAAATTAAAGGGTCAATTTCCCAAACACATTTTTTGAGCGGCGTAGCTGAAAATCATATGTTTTTTATGACATAGAACTTTGATTTTTTTTTACACGAAAATATACAGAGGTTCCATTTTGAGGACAACATTATTAATGAGTATTTTCTTTTACAAATTCGACAAAAAATAATTGAACTAAGCGTTTCTAATTTTGGTGCAGTGTCCACATCCTTAATTTCTTACAATATGTAATTTTTTAGCTGAGGATCAAAACAGAACTTAGGGAAAAAGTATATTTTTGGATTATACAATCTATCTATTATCTAAGATTACCAAATTAAGCAAGTTTCCCAAATAACTGTGATTAAGTCACGTCCTTAAGTTTTGTCCGCGAAAAATTTATGATTTTGGTGTCAATAATGAAATAGCTCGTCAACAAAAAAATTAAAACCGACGCCAACAATCACTTAAAAGTAGAAAATAAGTACGTCGTTATTTATTTATTAGGACAATATACCATGATTATTATTTTTGGAGTCGGTGCTGGTAAATTTAAAACCATTTCTTGAGCTTGGCACTAAGATATGACCGACTGACAGCATATTTTCTAATTTTGGTGCTTTAATATAAATTTTGGTGTTCTCTTAATTTTGGTGTAAGGAAAATCTAAAAAACTACTGGACAAAATTTAATGTCTTAATCATTTTAGAAACAGTATAAGTTTCCAATAAATTTGATCTATAATTAAAGAATAAAAATACACAAATAACAATTTCCACCAAAATTAGGCAAAAATATGCACTTGTTGAAATTCACCCTAAAACATTCGTCACTTTTGTCAAGCGCCTTCACAAACTGTTTCAAGATGCCGAGCCTAATATAAAGTGGTGGAAGTACGGTGATACGGTCTTGGCTAACTAAAGGCACGTTTATAAAATTGTTTGTATCAACTTTAGCTGAAGAGCTAAAAGTTGTGTGTGCGGGAAGCCGTACTGGTCAAATTTTTTGTAACCAATGCTATTGTTTGTTACGACTATTCCAGAGACACATGGAACGGGAATTTTGTGTAGCCCCCTTGTGGGCCTAAAAGATGTTACCTATTCTCAGAACACAAATGACTCATTTGTGGGCTTGATTACTTAATTTCAAATATTTATATATTAAAGTGTCGATGTTACGCAGTTTTCATCAAGTCCGATAGAGGTTTTCGATGTTTTTCAAATATTATATTTACCACAAACATAGCAGAAACCATCTGGATTAAGCACACAACATTTTCATACCGAAGCAATATCGAAAACACCAACAAAAATTTTTTTTTGTCTAATTAATTCAAAAATCTAAGTAAAAATATTAAATGAGGGTAGATAGCTATAACTTAAAAACAAAAGCTGTTGGAAAAAAACTGTTGCCACATTTAAAAAATATGCGTCAATTTGAGATAGAAACAGAAAAAAAAACACAGGAAACAAACAATTTTATTTTTTTTGTTGACCAGAGTAATATGACTTGTATACAGGGTGTTAGGTAAATGGGGTTATAAGCCGACACTAGCCCATGTTAACATCATATAAATGGTATGGTAAAGTCAGAAATTTATACAGGGTGTTAGGTAAATGGGTATATGTAATGTAATAATTAAAATGATGATATCAAATTTCTGACTTCACCATACCATTTATATGCCCATGTTAACATGGGCCAGTGTCGGCTCATATACCCATTTACATAACACCCTGTATACTTAGTTATAGAACAGTGTAGCACCTGAGTAGGTTCATGCGGTAGTAGAGCGGTGCGAATGATTTTTTATGGTTTTAGTGACCTGTGACGTAACATAGTTCTCACGTTATTGTACAAGACATCTGAATCTGAAGTTTATTTCTTTCGCACTACCACTACTGCAAAAATCTTACATAGTTATGTGCTTTGCCTATATGCCTGTACCAAACATAATTTAATCATATTGAAAACCCCCCCAAGTCAATGGACAATACGAGTTTCCATCAGCCATTTTTACAAATTACAATTATGACTAAACTGAAGCATGAATGGGAACATTAAGTTTCAAGGCAACAAAAGGAAAATAGGCGCTGGTAATGTTACCATTTAAAGTTTTTTTATAGTCGACTCCAAACATGTTATTGTTCAGAAAACTAATTTAAAGTGAATCAGTAATTTCCTTACCGTAATATAAATCTAGGCATACCGTTCACGTCATGTAAAGATTATACCTAAGGTAGTTTTTGTAATAGCTCATTTTATGGGTCTCGGAGCGATATTATGAAAGTATTGTGTTGCCAACAAGGCTCATAAAACGTATACTTTTAAGGCTCCGTCGGAAACAGCACGAATCTGCATAGAACTTGTTTTATATTGGTTTAGAAAACTGTGAAATTAACTTCGCTATGCAATGGTTCTAAGCTGAAGCTGATGGTGCAAGGTTATACCGTGACATGCTGTTATATTTTCAGTACCTACGAGTATCTACGAGTAGTTACAAGAATGTAGTAGGAGCAAGAATTTAGAAATATGACGACGTAATAAAATACAAGTATCTAAACAGAAAACTTTCCTCTTCGAAATACGTAGTTCGTAGGTAGTACTGGTAGGTTAATTTTAACATCCTTATAAAAATGAGAACTTGGAAACTTACATCGACTTTCGCGGGCGGTTGTCCTATGGCGGTGGGCGGCAAGATCCCCTGGGCGGCCGTCACCAGCCGCCGGTACATCGCGTACAGAGCCTCCAGTTCATGCCTGCGCAGTAATTAATTATTTATTTTTATTTATTTAATAGGACAACTAATAATATTATTATAATATATTTAGACAATATTGTGCACATTTATATTTCGAATTAAATTAACTTCCACAAATAGTGGACAAAAAGTTCTGTTTTGTATTCTCCTGTTTTGTAATCACTACCTGTAAATGACCATATAAATTCTTTATTTCCACCACAACATTACATTACATTACATATAAATGAATGACGGTGTATGTAGTGAGGAGATTCAAATGTAGATACTTTCATAGTAAGCCACTATAATAGCTGTAGGTATGTATAATCATGTTCGACTTCAGTAATTTATTTTGTAAGGTGTCAAAGTTTGTAAGTTTTCAGCACATTGTTCGATGACAAACCAAGGGTCGAAGTAAAAGTATAAAGTGTTTCTTCTACAATTCACGTGCAAGATAAAGTAATAACCGTGCTTGTACACGAATTTTAAAACTTTAAACTTTCGGTAAGGCGACTCGGATACTTGTTTTTACTATAAATGTGTGTATAGTATCACTGCTGACGATTTCTTAAACGAGTATTTATCATTTTCATAAAATGTAGAGTTTGTAGAATCACAACTATGTATTTCAACTAGTTTTTGTTTTCATTAATTAAAGTCCCTTATTTACTCGTAATAAATATAACATCAATTTCTTCATTTCATATAAATAATCCACAAAACTAATCCACCTTCTTATCACAACTCGTTCCCAACCGAACTTACTTGGTGAAATGCGTGTTCCTATACAAAGTGTCTAGCGTTTTTTCCTTGAGCTTTTTGTTAGTCATGTCGACAGGCGCGCGAGGCCGCCTCGGTAGCACTGCCGCCCGCCCAAACCTGTGGCTTCGGATCTTCCCCATAATAAAATCCTAAGCGGTAGGCTATTGCCGTTTTAAATCTTTATCTCTTGGTAGCAGAAATATGCTACCACATTTTAAACTTTAGCGAGATAACATAACGTTCAAAACCACTGATATTTTTTTTTGTCTAGACCAAAAAAAATATCAGGGATTAACCAACCTGAAGCTACCGGTAACATAAAGTTCGTATACGCTAGCATTATTAGTTTTACTGTGGTACGAATCGTACGACGTTGCTTAGGAAGATCAAATAGTTCGTATTAATGCAAAGCCTCCATCTTGCCAAGGGTCACTGCATCTTTTTGGGAGGTCCAAAGTGAAGAAGCTACCTATTTACGAAGTACTCGTAGATGCTCAATATTGTGAAGACTACTTGATATATTTCTATTGTGTCACCATAATAGCATTGCTGTCAGCCTTTTGAAAATGCTTTTTATAATGCCAAAGAAACGTTTAATAAAATTCTGTTCAGTCATTTAGTACTGTACAAAACCGAAAGCATTGGCATAGGCAGTGGCAGTGATCGAAAAAGCTCTTGTCAGAAATGTTGACTCTACATTTTAAAGTATTATTAATAATAGTGTGATGTAAAGTTGTTAGTTCAACTAAGTATGAAGAAAAATCGTGGATTTGCTGTTATTTGTGTGAATAAACAAGAAAATGGAAAAACTAAATCTTGTAAGCTATGTTCTTTATTTTACGGTGGGTCAAAATTTTCCTGATTTTCCAAATTCTAAAACTACATAATAATGGTAAGATAGAAATGTCTCTCACATTTTTGTAAAAAGTGTAGGTATTCTAGACCCAAAATTCACCACAGCTTTGATATCAGCACAGTGAAAGACACGGATGCCATGCATGTTACTGCGCTTGCTGTTGTATTCAGTTGCTTCAAAGTTATTTGTGATTCTACACAGCTACCTAAATGTTTTTTTTTTTGCTTTTGCCTTTTATATTACTTCTCCAGTTCCTTCACTGGTTGGGTTTCATTGGAGGCGAAGCTGAAGAGGATGGATATACCTACAGGAGTTTCAGTGATGGGAAAGAGAGGTGGGTTCGTCCAGTTTCTCCATTTCCTTAGTCTACTTACTTGTTAAATTTAGAAGTCCTAGCCAGCATATCAAAGACCTTCTGCGGAGGCCTGGCCCCTGGGACCACGGGCTTCGGCTTGGGTCTGTGCTTGGCCGGTTCTGCGGCCGGCTGGGCTCGACGCTCCATGGCGTTGCGTCCAGCACTTAGGAAAAGACGGACGCCACGCAACGCTATGGCGCTCGCTGCCATACTCAGCTGCTTGTCGGTTGCCATGGCCTGTAGAAAAAGAGTTTCAGAAATAGCTGTACCAAATTTTTATTTGGCTTCTGAAACCAACCAATAAGTGCATTAGAACTTCGAGAATATAATTCTTCGGACGACGAAGACTTGTTTAGGTAGTTTGATGGGGAGCCATTGCTAGGCTTGGAGTGCTCTTGCTGGAAATTAAAGCTTGGTAAAAATGTTCAGCGTTGAATACTTCAAAAACTTAAATGAACATAATTACATATATCTACTAGCGAAACCATTTATATACGAGTACTTAGGTACCTACTTTATAAACAGCAATATAAGAAGTAGTAGTAGGAAGTAGTGCTGGTAAAATTCATAAACCTTAGGTTATGGTTGTAGCGATACATTCTTGGATAAATCCTTTAAAAAGGTGGATGTTTAAATAAGGTTATTCTAGCCTATAATCTGGTGCCCTACATAATTTTGAATCCAAGTTAATCAGCTGAAACTGGTGCACGGTGTAGGCAGTCATTATTTCAGAAACTTGGCAATTAGCCGATGGTTAGACACAAGTTATCGAGCTGCTAATCGACGTTAGGCCAGGTGGTGCGAGGTACGAGGAGAATACAAAGTTCATTAAGTTTCCACACTAATTAGTTTTGTGAGCGCTATCGCGATACGTCAAGAAAAGTTTTTCTTATCCACAAATTATTAATTGTCCCGTTAACCCCTCCAGCTACTGTGCGCTTCTTAGGGAACTAAATAAATGCCTACTGCCGTTTAAAGGACAGGTAAGTCGATTTTGTGGTGCATTTGTCCCACCCAGAGATAGTTTGAAATTTTGACAACACGATCTATATCACCGATCATTTATAAATCTAGCGGTCGCCCGCCCGCGGCTTCGCAGTCGTACGCGTGGTGTTAGTTATTTGCGGGTGCATCTCTACTTACCCCTAAGGGGTTAAAACAGGGGGTCTGTTTTATCCCCTTAGGGGTAGACTTTCGTAAAATCCTACACCCTTTAAGGAACCTTCCTGCCAAATTTCAAGTTTGTAGGTGTTATAGGTTCTGAGATTTCGTGATTAGGTAATTAGTGTGTGGTATTTCGCTTTTTAACTACAATACTTAGATGTAGGTAATCTTCTTTTAGTGAGTTCTACCGTAACTAGCCTCCAAGCATCTGTTATATTATGAGTTTTGGAAGTTGGTGAGACGTTCACGCAATGTGGGGGCCCGTAAACAGCCCACGTTATTGGTTAAGTGCATGCTGAAGATGTTAATCAGGGAATTTATGGCGTCTCAGATGTCATAAACTGTTTGAAATTATACACAGCTATTTAAAATCTAATGGATATGGTAATCACCCCTGCACGACCAAAAATTTACAAATTGTCAATATAGTAAGTCCCCCCTAAAGTCAAGTTATTTTAATATCTCGGCTAAAACTTTTCGTTTTCAATTAGAACTTTTTTGTTTTCAATTTAAACTTTTTGTTTAGTTTTCATAGTTTTTCGTTCGTGAAATAGTAACTCACAAATTAAATTGTGAAATATTTTTCAAAATTGGAAAAATTGCTGAAATTCTTACTCATGCTTCCCTCATTATGTAATGAGGATCATTTCGATTTTTAGCTGTGAATGCAGATTTATAGGGCTAAGAAATCCTTAATACACAGTGCAAAAATTTTTGTTCTACGACAAAAATTGACGAAGTTATGGCCAAATTACTAAAAAAGTTCACTGACCGCCCGGCGCGGGGACGATGACGTCATTATATCCGATCCGAACGCTGCCGGCGTACTGCGTGGATA